AAGTGAAAGTCAAGGTAAAGTCTGCAAAAAAAAAGTGAAAAGTTAGGGGCTGATGCTGCAATTATCCCTAAATTTTATCTTACAATCACAACTCTTTGTGATTAATAAATTATCAATACTTGAATCTACGAATTCTATTGGTTTAATTTGTCGGAATAATAATTCAACTAAATAATAGGTTGATCATAAATAATAATGAATCAATGATATTAAAGGTGTTAATGTCCAAAATGGATTGAACCAAAGGCACAATGCTTACATATTTGACTTCATACAATATCAAATGAAAATGTTGTAAATTTTACATAAGAGAGTGGAGTTCTTCATATTAGCATAACTTGGGATAAAAGCACAAATTGGGTTTGGACCATAGGCATGATGCAACATTGCTTCAACACACAGGCATGTCTAACGTTGTAGTCTTATGATAAATGCATAGCTTGGTCCATGTGCGCACTTTCAGGTCGTGCGTCAAAAACTTATATACGTGTACAAATTTTAATACAGAGATAGAGATAGCAATATCATGCATCTAATGATCTACGAGACACGCCACCAATCATTTATTCTTTGTGGTCCAATTTGATTTATAACAGTCGTACATTCTCTCATTTTTTATCATAATAATAATAATATATTTTAAAGTTTGAGAAGATTTATGTATTAATTTAAATATTATTACTATATATTCTGCCACGTGTACGCTAAAAAATGTTAAGATGTATTAAATTAGTTAATCTTGTCTTCAAATTTATCCATTATAGTTGGACTTAAATCCAAATAAAAAGCATATTGTACATAGAATGTTAATAGTCAATATAAAATTTTATGACATTTATTCATTATTACAATACAAATAACACCCCCATTGTACTAATGATGGAGAGGCAGATGGGGTGAGATCCAATGTAGATCCAATTTTTGATTCACGCGTGGGATTCGAGTGGTTCAGGGCTTAACTTCGAAGTTCTTATGGATCCGATGCGTTGGTGCTAGTATGGTCACACCCGTCAATAATTGCGTTTCGAGATTATGTAATGTTAGTCCAGCATTTGGAACAATTGTAACTGTGGAGCGACCCGGGTTAATAATTTTGGGATCCGCGGGGTCGATGATGATTGAAAGTGAGAAGGTGATAGGTAATAATTCATTTGCCATAGAATAGACCTAAATGATCAAAAAGAGTTTTAAGTACTCGACTTCAAATTTATTGAAAATAAGAATTACTTATTTGACATGGTGCTCTACTCTTGCTCGTGGTCGCATTTCAAGTTCATTATCCTAACAATATGCTCTAATCCACCGTGAAAATTGATTAGGTTTTCCCTTGGGACATTTTTGATGCTCGCATGGGATGTTACAATTTTTGTGCAAAAAGAGTTACAACATCGAATTATAAAATACAAAATTAATTTGGCTAACAATTGCAAGGCAGCAAAAGTAAGAAATGTGTTGGATTCTGGCTTGTCTTCCAAGTTTCCATTGGTATACCTTCACTTTTTAATACTTTCCCTCTCAAATCTTTTCTGCTTTTTATTTTTTATATATTTTTCATGTTCAAATGCCTTTATATTTTGCTTCCTTTTTTATCTCTAATTTCTGGATTTATGTAATTTATATTATTTGCTGCTTTATGCAGCAGATTCATGTGGTGCCTTTATTCCAAACCATCTTTATTTTTCATCCTTGGTTTACTCATAAATTAAATATTTAAAGTTAGTATTTATAATAATTCTGAAAAAGAAATAAAGAACAGATTTATTAGAAATGAAGCCCACGTCAAATTTCAAATAAAATAAACTGTAAAAAGTTATTAGACTAATTTTACATTAGTGAATAATTGTGGTTCGATGAAATATATTCTATTTCTTTGAAACGTTAATTTTCCAAGTGATATATTTTGAAAGGATAATTCGAGTCTGTAAATTATTTGGCTGGAATTTTGAATTAAAATCTAATCAAAATCATCATTCAATTTTAACAGTACATTTCACGAGACTGGCAACTTTTCAATCACATATCTATCAACTTTTATGAAAATCTATTAAAAAGTAAATATTTTATGTAAACCAAAAGGAGATTTATACAGTGATTAACATGGGACATATTTGATATTTGGCTTTATATTCATTGTATCTCAAACGCGAAACGATTCTCTATTTATAGTTTCATTTGACGAGGTCATCTCTTTACAGTAAATGCAAATAATTAGGACTAAATGACATTCTTGACAAAGCTTTAATTAGTCATTGCCAACGTAGAGGCAGAAAGAAGGATAAGGAATAAAAATATTAAAGAGAAAAAGTGAAAATCATCATGTGGATTGTGGGTGCGTGTAATATATATAATAGCAATGTGTTGACTAGCTATCGAAAGATTTATTCTTGTCTTTATAGAAATCTCTTTTAGGATGGGATCATAATGAATTAATGTTGTTGTGGCTATGTTTTACAGGCATTATGTCCCTGTCATTGGATAATTGAGATGCACTTGTTTTGGTATACAATGTCAATAGTGGAAAGTTTCTAGTATACTCTTGACCCCACTTTTCATCCATGTAGATATTATTGATGATCGCGTTTAAAAATTTAAATTATTGAAAAGTTTACATTTATTTAAATATAAATTTAATATGCTTTTCACGTTTCGTTGAGCTCATTCAGTTAAATCCTATACCTTTTTATGAATGAGTGACGTCAACGACAAAGTAACCTAGAAGGGTGAAGAATTTTCAAGGAATAGTGTCATTGCCTTTCTTTCTTTGATCGGAAGTAGACTAGAACATGAAGTCTTTTTCCTTATCTTTGATATCATATGCGATATCATGTAAATAATCTCATTTAAAAGTTTAAATGATTGAAAAAAAATACAAGTTTTTAGTTGGACAATATCAATACTATTGCAAAGATTAATATAGTTCAATGAACGAGATTTTAAAATCTTTATTCCTTTTTAATATTATTCAATTTATAATTGCACGTTCAAGACGTCGAATGATATAATAATACTGTAATGGATCGAGGATAGTTGGATGATTATGAGATTGTAGTTTATCCCATCATCTCTCTCTCACTCTCTCCCTTTAACACATGCACAAAGAAATAGAGAGATGAAAGTAGAAATGCATCAAAAGCATAAGAGTATCTCAATGATTAAAACCAGAAGCATCTGTGTTTCATATGGTTCCAACTAAGAAAGAAAGACAAAGATGCATGATACCTATACAGATTACTTTTGGACCCTTCTATTTTCATTTTATGCCATTTCTACCCTTTTGTTTCCCACTAATGCATGGTTGAGACCTTATTGTGCCACACCTCAAAATTAATTGCCAATATAAACTTAAAAGAAATTTAAAAAAATTTGAAAAGGACAATTCAACCACTATACAATTTCAAAATGTTTTAAACGAGAAGAAAAATTGTAACTCTCGTAAATAACGTTGGGAATTTGTGATAATTTAAAAATTTCCCTCCAAAATCCTTTTACAAAAAAATAAAAATAGAGAATAATAATATTATTAGGAACACTTTGAAAAACTCCAAGATAACAATCAAGACGTGAATATTCATTTAGTTGACTCAGAAAAAGAAAAATGTCTAGAGATTAATTTATCTTGTAAGTAAATGCTAACAATTCTCATTTGGTGATTCTATTAATAGATTCTGATTATTATATTTATATTTTCACAATTCTCATGCTTCTATTTATTTTCTAATAAAAAAATGGAATTATAATAAATAGAAAATGACAAAACTTGATGTCAAAATCCAATTATTATATACCCATATCATTGTTCCAAAATTTAAAATAAAAACAAAATAGTTCTTACTATTATTAGGTGAGTGTGAGAATAAAGAGGCACATAAAGTTCAAAAGATCGAATAAAATAATATGTTCAACAATTGGCCCATGTGTACTAATAAAGTTTATCCACTATGAAAGAGGAAAGTTAGCAACTTAATTAGTTATTCATATTTTTAATTAAACATATTATAAATATTTGGACATAATATATTTTAGAGAAGAAATTAAAAAGACAAAATGAGCATAGTTTTTTATTTTTTTCTTTCTGAAATTTTGAAAGACTTACATTATTAAAAAACGCGAAGACTGTCTTAAGAACTTTGCATAATATGATGGAGGCATGATGAAATTCTTGGACCATCAACTCCTCGCCAGACCCACATTTAGTCTTATGATTGAAAAAAATAATAATTCTAAACTTAGTGCTTGTTTGGGAAGACTTGAAAATGTTGAATTCAAAATCAACAATTGATTTTAATCATATTTTTATGAAATTCACGATTTTTATTAACTTTTCAATCAAATATTTCATCAACTATTAATCAAAATATGCTAAACTTTTATCAAGATTTTTGTCAAACAGCCCCTTAATCTTCAACTTTTGTTCACTTGGCTAACGGATACATTGTTTAATCATAATCCCAAACCGTACACAATATTTGAATATTTATTGTGGCAAAATTTGAACCTATATCTTTCGTCTACTCTGATGCTATATTACACTGCACATTTTAAAAGTTTAACGATGAGACATTTGTTTATTTTAAATTTAGCCTTGGATAAACTACACATCTTTTTCGGACAATACCCATTTTACACTTCTATTATGTAAGAAATAACAAAGAAGATAACATTACTTGGAAACATAAATTGTGAAATTAAAATATTCATTTCAACAATCTTATTACACATACGTTCTAGTCGATATTATACTTCACGTTGTATCATGTGACACAATTTTACCATTGATTTCTCCAGAACTTTAAACAATCAACGACCTCGATTTTTCTATCTATTCAAATGTCATCCAAGTTGTACACAAATAATGTACAGGTAACGTAATTCTAATTTTAATTAGCTAATTCTGATAATTAAGCACCATATCGACATGACATGAGTGATGAGTCACAAAATCAATCTTACCCCTTCAATTCTCAACAACGTTAAAGTGTCCAATCAACGACCCAACAAATTCATTCCCATAAGGAAAGGTCTTCAGGCAAGAATTCACTTGGAATAAGCTCAGCACCAGCCAGCAGCAATGGTGGTGGCGCCGTTGTGTAGCTGAATCCATCAAGTTGGTGGCTGATGCCAAGGAAAAGATCAGGCAAATCAAGAAATATTGGATCTTCATTTTCATTTGATGATTCTCTCGTATCATCGGCTGCGGCCATTGTATCTCTCCCACCGCCCTGCTCCGCCACTAGCGCTGCTGCTTTGGCTGCAGCAGCCTGGACATCTTTCGGGGACTTGGAGATGGCGCGGGGCAGTTCCTGAGCCAGTTCTGGGAAATTAAGAAAAGCTGAATGTCCTTTGATTGCAATTGCAGCAGCATCATGGGCTCGAGCAGCCATTTCAGCAGTGGCAAAGGTCCCTAGCCATATCCTAGATTTCTTTCTTGGCTCACGGATTTCCGACACCCATTTTCCCCAGCTTCTTTTTCGTACTCCTCGATATAAAGGGTGTTTACCAATGGCATTTTTCTTCGAATCATGGCAAGATTTAATGTTATTACTTCCATTTTGTTCTGAATAATCAGCCCCCGTGTTATTCGTGGTTGCACAGGACCAGGACGGTGAGAGGTCAGCGCTCGAGGAGGAGGCTGCCGAGGATAAGGGTGTGGAGGAGGAGGAGGATGCTGATTCAAGAATAAGCTCCAAGAAGGTAGCTTCTTCCATATGTAGGAGAGAGAGTTGTGAATGGTGGTACTAAGAACTTGGCATGGTTACCCTTTTTATATTTTTCTTGCAGTCTTTCTAAAAATGAATGGGGTGTATTTTATTTTATTTTTGTTTCAAGAATCAAGGTTCATATTGGGTTTGGAACATCAGATTCTGTAGTTTTACCTTTACCTACTAATGATATGGAACCACAAAGGAAAATTAGAGAAGTGGAAACTTTTTAGATATATATATATATGTTAGGAATTTACTTAGCCCTATTTGACACCTTTTTTTTTTCCTCATTCTCATTCTCATTTTTTTCTCTTTCTTCCTTTCAACTACACATTCTCCAAATAAAATAATATTACATACAAATCTAATATGTTTCATTACTTTTCTACCACACATTCTCCCATCAATCACTATTTCAAAAATTATATTCTCATTAAAATGAGATTCCAACACAAGTTTAATCATGCACAACAAAAAAATTAAACTTAATTTTAATTCCTATCAAGGATTTGATTTGTATTTAAATAGAAACTGCATTTAGAATAATAACTTTAGTTAATTCTACAAACTCCTTCGCGATCTTGGAGCGCGTACAATCACGATCTCTGTAATCTACAGTTGTCCAATGGTCTAAACTCAAATGGAGATCATGTGTTTCTCTTTTCTTATACTAGCAAGATAATGAATCATGTTTCATCATTTCTGAAACCCTAATATCTTATTAATATAAGTTCAGTGGGCTTGACTAGTCTCTCAAACTTAACATGATCCAATATTTAATTAATTCAATTAATTAAATTTGGTTCATGAATTAATTAATCTATTCGGGTATATTAATAAGCAACGCAATTAATTCATTCTCCAACACTTGTTAATTAATTAATTGGCAAATTTCATTCTTCTAATTCTTCATTTGTGTGTTGCCCATTATGTTCCCGATCAAGAAACATAATGACATAAGTTATTATTTTGATCTAATCAAAATTGATAAATTAAAATATCATTTTTTAATTTATCATCATTTACATCCCTCATCTCAATTTGACATCTAGTAATGTGTCGGGTAATACATGTGATGGAAAATGTCACGTGGTACGATAAAATTAAACTTTTTCGTTAATCGTGAAACTATAATCCTTTCGTCAATATAATTCGATCAATTACGAGATATGGATATGTGTCAATCTAAATTATCGATCATATCTTTCATCCCACTATTAAATCAATATAAGTCGAAAACTTTTTTTGACTTTTGAGTACACCTTGACTAATGATTTTATTATCAACCTAAATGAATGAAATGTAGATCATAAACGACCTTCATATGATTCTTGATATAGCTGAACGATGTTGTATTAGTGATCCTTGGTATAATAACATCCAACATCACCAAAGTATGAATATTTTCATATAAAGCATAATGATGAACTCAAATCAAAGGACGAATTTCACTACTGAATGTTAAAAATTAACCAATGACACTCAAATAGTTAAACATATGAAATATCTTCATTGTGTCTCCAATATTTTGTTTTATAACAAAATATTCACGTGTTCATTTGAGTGTAACCACACTTTATCTTGTGAGATCGGTTGCTTACTTCATAAGTAAGAAATGCTGCACGCGATCGTCTATCCGTAATAAGGATATCCATATCTCGTTATTACTTGCCACCACAGATGATTTAAAATTCCGTCATATATAATTTGCATTTCACAATCCCAACTCCTTGTGAGTAAAAAATTACCAAAACTTGAACTACAAATTCTATTATTTAATTTATTAAAATATTAACTCAAATAAATAATAGATTTATAATAAATGAAATGCATCAATTATATGTTAAAAGTGCTTATATCCAAAGTTGATTGGATCTAGGGCATAACACTTACAAACTCCCACTTGCACTTGATCCAATCACTTATTATATAATATCATAAAAGCCAACACGATAATCATATTTATGCTATGACAACTCTTTGTCAATTGATCTGCAATTTAATAACTTGTGTGAATTTATTATTTCTTTACATCATTTCACTGTATTATCTTTTAAATGAGATGATACCGCCTTAGAACATGTTCGGATCATTAACGAGACCTTTTTTCCTTCGCTTGCATGATGACTCTATTGTTATCACAATGTAGAAGCACGAGGTAAACAATGTAAGGAACTACTTTAAGTTCATTGATGAACTTCCTGATCCAGACCACAACCTTTGTTGCTTCTAAAACAATGATGTATAAGGCTTCTGCTATTGAATCAATGAATGTTTTATGTTTGGAACATTTTCAACACACCGCTTAAGAGTAAACAAAAATCCTATTTGAGATGTGCTATTATTCCAGTCTGACTAGAAGTTAGCATCATTCTATCCATGAACTCTCAGTTCATTTATCTAAGTTCAGTAATGAACTTCCTGATCCAGACCACAACTTTGTTGCTTTGTAAAGCAATGATGTATAAGGCTTCCATTATTGAATCAACGGTTATTTAAAACATTTCCAACACACCGCTTAAGAGTAAACCAATATCTTGAGTCAAATTTGCTATCATTCTACACTGACTAGAAGTTAGCATCAGTACATCCATGAACTCTCAGATCATTTTTACCATATAAAAGCTTCTCAAGATTTTATCTATGTATATTAGAATGAGTTAAGTAATCTTCTAAATCTATCTTTATAGATCGAGTTGCTTCTCCTATATCTTTTATGAAGATATTATTTGACAACCATAATTTTAACGACTGATAGATAGGGATGTCATTTCCTATTAATATGTTATCTACATATAATATTAGGAATATGACAACGCTCTAACTATCTTCTTGTAAACACACGGATTGTCTTCATTTTTTATAAAATCAATCCTTTTGACTTTCTTATCAAATCAAAAATTCCATCTCCAAGAGGATTGCTTCAATCCATATATGGATTGATAAAGCTTGCATACATTATAAGAATATTTGGATTCAAAAATTTCAAGTTGTATCATGTATACTTCATCTTGCAAGTTCATGTTAAGGAATGCAGTTTTGACATCCATTTGCCATAACTCATAGTTTGGTATGTAGCTATTGGAAGCAAATCCGAATGGACTTTAGCGTGGCTACAGGCTAAAAGGTTTCATCAAAGCCAACTCCTTATCTTTGTTTACAACCTTTTACTATTAGCCTCGGTTAGTATGTATGGATATTTCAATCCATATCAATATTTTTGTTTAAATCCATTTACAACCTATGAGTTACATCTCATCCGGTTGGTCAATCAAGGTCTAGACCTTATTCACATAGATCGAGTTCATTTCAGATTCCATGGCCTCTTGCCATCTCTTTAAATCAACACTTGACTTTGATTCTGTGAACTAGTAAGTTAATCATCCTCGATTAGTAATACTTGATTAGTAATCATGAATACGACCTTTTAGGAGGTCAAATGATCCTACAAGATTTACATTGAACTTGTCCTCGGGAGTCTATCTTCCTGATCAAGTGTATGTCCCTTAACAAGTATGGGATCAGACTTAGGCTTACCTACTGGTCAACTATATCTGTAGATTCTTAAACTCCTTAAAGATTTATTTTGCTCCCACTATCCTCTCCTAAAATAAACTCTTTTTCTAAGAATATGACATTTCTTGAGAGGAGCACTTTTGTCTCAATGGGATTATAGAATTGATATCAAAATATCTCTTTTGGGTATCCTACGAATATGTATTTATCGAATTTAGACTCAAACTTATCCAATTCAATGAGCTTCACATAAGCATCAAGGTCCCAAGTTTTAATATGAGACAAGTTGGGCATTTTACCTTTGCATAACTCGTATAGAGTTTTGTCAACCGATTTAGATGTGTCACAATTTAGCATATAGCATGTTGCAATCAATGCATGACCCCAAAAAGATTTTGAAAGGTTTGCATGGCTCGTTATTAATCGCATTACGTCTAATAGTATAGGATTCCTCCTTTTAGATACACTGTTGTGCTGCGGTGTATGCTAGGAAGTCCATTGCAAGAGAATTTCATTCTCTTTCAGATAATCTAAAAATTCACCCTTTAGATATCCTCCATTTCCATCTGATGTTAGTGTGAGAATACCTATACTTATTTGTTTCTCTACTTCTAGTTTGAATCTCTTGACTTTTCAAGTGCTTCATGCTTGAATTTCATCAAGGATATATGAACATTTCTGTAATATTCATCAGTAAATGTGATGAAATAAGAGAAACCTTATCCAGCAATAATTGACATGGATCCACATACATCATTATGTATTAGGCTAAGTAATTGTACAGGTATTTCTCATTTTCAAGTAAAGCGGATGTGGTCATCTTGCCTAACAGACATAAATCGCATTTGTCTAATGACTTAAAATCATTTGACCCAAATATTCATCTCTATGTAATTTGGAATTGCGTTTTTCATTTATGTGACCAAGTCTGCAATGTCAAATTTATGTATTATTCAGATTGTCACTTTTTACCTTTCAATTTCTATACTCATTCTTAAATATTCAATATTTAGAATATAAATATCATTTTGTAATTAATCATAACCATAAAGAATATAATAAGATAAAAAGGCACAACAATTGTCCTTAACATTAAAATAATTATGAAATGGTCATTAGTAAATGTGATGAGATAAGATAAACTTCACCTGACATTAATTGATATGGATCTACATACATCACTATGTATTAGACCTAATAATTGTGCAGATCATTTTCCTTTTCAAGTAAAAGGAGATTTGGTCACTATACCTAACAGACATGATTCGCATTTGTCAAATAATTCAAAATCATTCAATTCAAATATACATCTCCATGAAAGTTTGAAATTGCATTCTTATTTATGTGACTAAATCTGTAATGCCAGATATATGTGTTATCCAGATTATCATTTTTATATCTTTCAATTTCTATACTCATTATAGAATACTCAATATTTATAATATAAATGTCATTTTGTAATTTACCATAACCATTAAAATCTTATC